AAATATATGCAAATATAATTAAAACTATTGATTAATCACATTTTATTGAGGACCTACAATGTGCCAGGCACTATGCTAAAGATTAGTGATGAGCAAGAGAGAAATGGTCCATGCCTTCCTGGAGCTTACATGAGAAGTTATATACAAATTTAAAGGGGTCAAGACATACATACAAAACCAAAGTAACACCCTATAAAATAAGTCAAAACTCTCATGAACAGTATTCTAAAGAAATCTGGCTTTGTATTATATATGTGTTTATATAATATATTGATTTCAGATATAAGGAAAATTGGGGAAATAATTTAAGCCAGATGTATTGGAAAGCTTATAGGAAATGTATTAATAAATTTACTGAAAATGTTGGCTCATTTTTTTATAATCAATTGCTGTCTGTAGAATTAATTGACATGCATTACTTTGAGTTTCTTTTTGTGGGCAAGAACTTTGAGGGTTTAATTGTAGGAGCAAAAAAGTAAATGTTAAAACTTAAGAACTATGTTGTGTATGCTTGTAGCTTTGGACCAGTTGTATCTTTCATTACCTAAAATAACTTGATTATATGCTCTCCATCTAAGCTTTCTATTCTTTATAACTATTAACTTTTCAAGTCAAATGTATGTGTGGTTTTTGTGTTTGTGTCAAAAAATGCTACACTTATGTGTCATGTTTCACATAGTGGCAGTTGAAAGATTTTAAGCAAGCCTCACTGCGAAAGTACCTTAATATTCAAATATAGCTTGTTTCAATCATAGGTCTCACTCAAATCAGTAATTTTCAAATAGCATAGCTAACTTTTTAAACTTGTATTGTAAAATACTGTCTTGGCCCTATGTCTTATTAAATATGTAATCATTTTTAATCCTGCTGGTACACATACGTGTGTGTGTGTGTGTGTGTGTATATACACACATGTATGTATAATTATATAATATAATAAGTGTTAAGTTTTAAATATACTATCATCATAACTGTATGATTGAACACTATTAATTTTTTGTGTAGATGACCTTCCTCACTGGGTATTATCTGCCATGAAGTGCCTAGCAAATTGTAAGTTAAACAAACTGTGTGTGTGTGTGTGTGTGTATTATATTGATAAAATATTTAATAAGAAGCAAGGAATTATTTTTAATAATTTATAAAGTCCTGATAAAATTAAATTATATTCTTTCTGTTGATGTTTAAATGAATATCTAGTAGAACTGATTACACTTCTTTGCATGTGGAGTGTGTTATAGAGCCCTTAACTTTTTCTATGCAGATAGTGATTTTATAATCCAAGCCCGTCATTTATGACTCAGTTCTCATAAATCATAAAATCATAGGCTAGAGGATCTCAGAGGATTTTTAGGTATAATCTACATCAATTGCTTTAGTGAGTCCAGAGAGTTCAAATAGCAACTTCTAAGTAATGCAGCTGGTAAGTTGAAAGTTTCTGTCAGAAATGAAGTCTTATAAAACCCACTTCAGTCCCCTTGCCATTGTACATGGCTTCAACATTTGGTGTTTCATGACATGCTTCTACTCCATAGGATATATTAATGGGACTTTTATGTTTATGAAAAAAAATGGTCTGTCATTAATCAGATCATTTTTTAGCATTTCATTCTTCAAGTTTTTTCCATAGTGATCAGTGATAAGTGAGTTTTATAATTTAAGACCCTAGTTCTAGTACAAAACCCTAATTGCTCTCGAAAATCAGTTTTTAAAATATGCAGAGGTGTATGCTTCTAAATCATCAAAAGTTAAATTATATTTTAATAATTTTGTTACAAAAGTATTTTTCTAGTTTTTATAAAATTAGTATTTTATTAATGTTCAGGATAAGTATATATTCCCTTGTTGTCCACTGGGTGTCAATATGACAAAATAACAGGATAACTAGCAATAAGTAAATAATATTAGTTATAGAAAAAAGTTATCAATTCAAGATAAAGATCTTGATCAGAAGCTAAAGATTTCTGAGATTCTCTTTCTACCTTCTCGCTACGTAACTGTCCTTCTCTCTCATACCTTGGCTCATGATTAGCAACTCAGATAGCATACTTCCAGGGATTTCTCTGATGCCCCATCTTTAGGGATTTGTTTCTTTTTCTTCTCAGTCCACATTACACATAAATGATACCAAGATATAGCTTACTAAATTCCAGTTTAACAACAATATGTCTAGCCAGAGGCAATATTAAGACTTTTACTTAACTTGTTTGTTATTTAATCCCCCACTGTAATCCTGTGACATACAGGAATCAAACATCAGTATACTATTCATAATTTTTTTTCTAGAAGAGAAAACTAAGGCTTAGAAAGTCTTTTTTTCTGATACATAAGGAGCTATGTATTCAAACCTAGATTCTCTAACTGTAAATTCTGTGTTTTTAATTCCAGTAAAGTATTTTCTATCTTAGAAAACTTTTAATGATTATCAATTTTTTTATTCTACATATTAAGAATATTTCTTATATCCTCCTCAGAAAAATTGTCTATTTGTTCCACATAAAATCCTTATTAGCCTTTAAGCTATTACGTGTGTATATGTGTGTTAACTTGAAAGATAACATAGTAACTCTCAAATCTGAGTGCATATCACAGTCGCTAGAGAAACTCAGCAAATATTCAGATTCAGTCGATTCAGTATGTCAGGATTTTTTTTTTTTTTTTTTTTAAATCATGTCTCAGAAGATTCTTACAGCAAGATGCCCAGCTCCGTGTTAGGAAACTACTTAATTAGTGAACCAGAAGCAAACATTTCTAGATCAGTAATTCCTAGCTCCATAGGAATTCTGATAGATTCTGGACTGTTTAGAGGAGATTATATATATTTTTAATATGTACACTGGATGATTCTGATTATGTAGTCCATGGACCACACTTTAAATGCTATTAAACCTCAAGATCCTGTGACTTGCTCTCGCTTTATACTGCTCTAGATTCTAATTTTAGCTTTGCCACCAAACCTCTTTTACCTTGAGCAAGTTGCTCTGAGCTTCAGTTTCCTCACCTGTAACATAAGATCAGAATTTATTTCTGAGGAAAATACTAATGAGTAGACATGATTATTTCAATAATGTTAAGCTAATGGAACAGCAATGTAAAGATATTATTTAAACTCATTCAGGGTATGCTTCATATCAGGCAAAATTTAATCACAAAAATGTAAATTTACAAAAGACAATTTGAAAGAATTATTTGCATAATCCAAATAATCTTTGCTTTATAAAATGAATTGTGATAAAATCCCATTAAAATAAGCTGTCCTGATGCTTTTAAAATATATTTCAAATTTTGCTTTATATACAATTTTTCAGTCATATAAATATTAAAATTAAACAAAATGCTAATAGTTGCAGTGATTTCTAATGAAAAGATGGTGAGAAGGAATGAGATATGCACAACCCTTTAAATTTTTAAATTGTGACAATTTGTTAAACATAACTCCTTCATGAAATAAGTATATGTTTTATGCTTTTTATAAGTATCTTTAAAAACTATATTTAAAATAAATTATATTTCACCTTTTTTTTTTATTTTTTGCCTCTACTTAGGGCCAAGAAGTAATGATATGAATAATCCAACTTATGTTGGATTTGAACGAGATGTATTCAGAACAATTGCAGATTATTTTCTAGATCTCCCTGAACCTCTACTTACCTTTGAATATTATGAATTATTTGTGAACATTTTGGGTATGTATAGATTTTTATTTATTATTTAAATGTATTTTATTAGTTTCCAAGTCCCCCATAATTTAAAAGATCTAAAAGTATAGGTAAACATGAAGGTGGCAGGCTATAAATTATTTTAAACTTCAGGAATACTCTGGTTGTTGTTATGTTGTTTTCCAGTAATTCAAATATACCATTCCAACACCAATTCTCTACACCAATAGGGTGTCTTACAATTCAGTTCATTTCTGACACTAACTACCCAGCGTTAACCCAGACCCCAAAAAGTTGAGGACAAAGTCTTTCAGCTCTGATACTAACTACCCAGTGCTAGCTCAGACCCCAGAGATCAAGGGCTCAGTTCCACAACGCTGCCCTCACTTCATTCACCAGCTGCAAATGAGGTCCTCAGGTTTACTGACATTTCTGCCTGGCTAACTGCCAAGTTAGGGGTTCCCACAACCCCCTGAAGTTTAATAATTCACTGTAACGGCTCACAGAACTCTGGAAAGTGCTTTACTTAATGATTACCAGTTTATTATAAAGGATACAAGTCAGGAACAGCCAAATGGAAGAGATATATAGGGCAAGGAATGGGGGTAAGGGTTGTGCAGAGCTTCTATGTTCTCTCCAGGAATGTCATCCCCCACAAGCGTGTCCATGTATTCACCAACTGGTAAGCTCCCATAGCTGTGTTGTTTCAGAGTTTTAACTGAGGTTTCATTACATAGGCATGGTTGATTAAATCATTGCTCATTTTTGACTAAGTCTGACCTCCACCAACCACCACTACCCTACCACCCCCTCCAGGGAGGTCTGAGGTAAGGCTAAAAGTTCCAACCTTCCAAGAAGGGCTAAGCCTAAGTCACCTCATTAGCATAAACTGAGGCTAGCTCTAATAGGCTCATTGTGAATAACAAAAGACTCCTGTCACTGGAAATTCCATGGGGTTTAGGAGTTCTATACCAGGTACCAGAAACAAAAATGATATATATGTTTTATTAAACTACAGTTGTCTTATAATTAAGAATTTTCTAATACTTGTAGACTGAAAGTAGATATTTTTTCATGTATTTGACTGAATCCATTTAATTAGATTGTTGAAATAAATTTTAAAGTTATTTTCATCACAAGTTGGAAAACCTCGAGTCTTGCACTTTGTAACTGAATGTTGCATGTGTCCTATTTAAGTGGCTTCTGAATTAAGCAACTGCTATTTGTACTATACTAACAATATGTACTATAGTGATGCTTTGTTTTTTTAACGTTACTCTTGTTTTTGTTTTATTTTTGTCCACTGTCATACAGTTGCATCTTAATTTTTGTTTCATTTCCTGGTAGTTGTTTGTGGCTACGTCACAGTTTCAGATAGACCCAGTGGGATACATAAAATCCAAGATGATCCACAGTCTTCAAAAATCCTTCACTTAAACAGTCTGAATTCCTTCAAATCAACTGAGTGTCTTCTTCTCAGTCTGCTTCATAAAGACAAAAACAAAGAAGAATCAGATACTACTGAGAGACTGCAGATAAGTGATCAAGGATTTCAAGAAAACTATGCTAAGAAAATGCAGCTAGTTAATTTAAAAAACAGAAGAGCCAGTGTTAATGACATAATGGGAGGAAGTTGTCATAATTTAATAGGCTTAAGTAGTATGCATGTTCTATCCTCTAGCATCAAACCAAGGTGCTATTCATTAGAAGGAATTATAGATTTACCAGGGAGTTCAAGTAAAGAGGTCTCCAGTGTCTTCCATCAATCTGTTCTGAACATAAAAGGACAAAATAATAAACAATTTTTAGAGTCTGAGACCAAACAGGAATCCCTAATGCATCTTCATTCAGAGGAAAGTATTCAAAAACCACTCTGTGTTGGTTTTAAAAGAACCTCTACTTTGACCGTTCAAGACCAAGAGGAGTTATGTAATGGAAAGTGCAAGTCAAAACAGCTTTGTAGATCTCAGAGTTTACTTTTAAGAAGTAGTACAAGAAGGAATAGTTATATTAATATGCCAGTGGCTGAAATTATCATGAAACCAAATCTTGGACAAGGCAGCACAAGTGTGCAAACAGCTATGGAAGGTGAACTCGGAGAGTCTAGTACCACAGTCAATAAAAGACTCTGCAAAAGTACAATAGAACTTTCAGAAAACTCTTTACCTCCAGCTTCCTCTATGTTGACTGGCACACAAAGTAAGGTTGATGCTTTCAACGCATGTAATGTTAACTTTTAGTGTTTACTAACCCTGTTTCACTTACCTGGCTTTTCTTCTCTGAAATTGCTTTACTTTTTCCCTCCAGAAGGAAAGTTTCATATTGTAAAAGACTTGTCATGGCATAACCAAGATTTATTCTACTTACCTAAAGCACTCCTTTTCTTTCCCTTAAATTGCACTTATTCTGAGTCACTTTATTTGTAATAAGTGAAGGATTTTCAATCCTTCATAATCCAATGGGTTATGAAGAAAATAATGAGTATCTTACCATGCTTTTGAAGAATGTGGAAATTTCTGGGAATAGTCAAACGAAATATTAAAATATTATTTTGCCTTCTTTATATAACTATATGCTGGTAGTATGAAAGCAGCTAGTGTCATTGATGATTTTTTTCTGGGGGGTAATTTGCCTTCTAGGTTTGCTACAACCTCATTTAGAGAGGGTTGCCATCGATGCACTACAGTTGTGTTGTTTGTTACTTCCCCCACCAAATCGTAGACGGCTTCAACTTTTAATGCGCATGATTTCGCGAATGAGTCAAAATGTTGATATGCCCCAACTTCATGATGCAATGGGTACAAGGTCACTGGTAAGTTGATTTCTTAAGGAAAGAATAAGTCCAGTTCATAAACTGCACCGCACCCCCCCCCGAAAAAAAAAGAAAGAAAGAAGACCAAACCATCTAAGCATACTACTCAAGTGATGTCATGGTCTTGAAATCCTAGATTCTTGAGTTAAAAAAAGGCTTTTGAAAGTCTAACCTTTCCTAGCAGCAGAATACTGGTGCATTAATCCTTTGTGCCCAGTCTTTTATACTTTCACATCTTGATCTTTACCTAAGGACTTTGCCTATTCACTCACGCTGTATCACTTCATAGTGGTTAACTGTCAGACCATATTATATTGCCTAGAGCCAATTCTGTTTGGTGGGGAAGGAAGAGGAGATGTAGGCACTGTTGAAAGCCAAAGGGCACTATAACCCTGTGAAATAAAGAATTAATGGGAAATTCATGTGTAGTAAGTCAAAGTGTTTCAGATATTGTAGTAGTGGGAAAATTGTATTTGATGTGTTATGTGAATTAGGATAGCTTGTCATTGTGGGCAGGAAGTTGGGAGAGGTACTGTGAAGCAGTCTTAGGCTCCATATGAAGATGAGGGAAACAAGGCATTTATATGCAGATGTTGACTGGAAATGAACTCTTGAAATAGTATCTCTAATATCTCTTTCCCTCCCTCTCTTTATCTCTCTCTTCCTCTCTCTCTCTCTCTCTCTGTCTTTCTATAAAGAGCTGCCACTTCCTCAGAGCACAGCTTCAATTTACAGATTGTTCTTGTAGCAAGGAATCTGTAGCTAAGCTCCGTTCTTCCACTTATTAAGGACAGTTTTTTAATAAAACGACATACCTAATATAAAGAGGAAGAATTATTCTTAAGTAACTGTGGCATCATTAAAAAGCATAGGGAAGTTTGTAGGAAAAGATATTTAGAGAGATATGAGTAAGAAGGAGGTAATTTTGATTTTACACTTTTTGAGATTCAGGTTATAGAATATCTAAGTGAAATTTATCCTACAGACAGAAGGTTGGAAATGAATCTGGTGAAGAAATATTAGGGCAGAAAGTATATTTTTTGTAAAAGTGGTAGTTGAGGCTATAGGAGTAAACGAGTTCTATAAAGCTGAGCAAACAAAGAATAAAAGCTGAGGACTGAGCATTGGAAGAAGATAGGAAAACCTGCCAGGCATGTAGGAATAAGACCAAAAATATTTCAATTCAATAAATATGCTCACCATCTATTATGTGCAAAATACTTAAAATACAATTCTGATATTCAAATTATTTTAGAATGAGGTGTGTGAGTGTTTATGTGTGCATGTGTACATGTGTGTGTCTTATATTTGGTGGGTTATGTGGACATGAATGAGAGTAAATTAGTTTTGAAACACAAAATTTACCCCAGGATTTGAAGATTGTCATGATGGAATTGAAAAATACAATGTACTAATTGTTTTTAAAGACTAATAGAATAGCATTAAAAACTGTTTCAAAAGATAAATGATGCCAACCTTGTAACCACTTGTGTTTATATATTCTCCTAATCTGTGCTTTTATGGGGTTAATTTAATAAGTCACTGTTCTCTAACAGTCTTTAAGCACCATATTTGTATGGTATTAATGGAACCTAGGTGTTTAGTGATAAAATTGAGACAAAACTGAAGAAAAAGCTAGGCCTTCTGTAATCATTTGGAATTTATATTAAGGAAATACTTAACAAGCACTATAAAAAAATTGGCATTTTATTCTTTCTAATGTAATAAGTTATTGTCCTCATTTTGTAAGCTGAAGTCTGCTTATCACTTTATCTCAATCCTTTAGCATAATACTACCTAGAAATTACTGGTATTCTAATTTATATAAAACCTTAAGTTTTTAAATTCACATCTTTTAACGTTTCTAGATGATACATACTTTCTCTCGGTGTGTGTTACGCTGTGCTGAAGAAGTAGATCTTGATGAGCTTCTTGCTGCACGATTAGTTTCTTTCTTGATGGATCATCAACAGGAAATTCTCCAAGTACCCTCTTACCTACAGACTGCAGTGGAGAAACATCTTGACTACTTAAGAAAGGGCCATGTATGTATTCTAAGTCTTAAAATTCTCTGCATTAGTCAGTTGTAAGTGGCAAACTCATCTCAAACTAGCCTAATCAGAAAGGGAGACTTTATCAGCTCACATAAATAACCTCCAAAAGTCAAGAATGTAGACAGAATATGGATATTCAAATAGCAATAGGACTGTTTCCATCCCTTCATCACTTATTTCCATTTCGGTCCTATATTTGAAAAATGGCTCCTTCACATGATTGGATATGGCTGATTAAAGCTCTTGAGTCATAGACTTATATTTGCCATCCAAAGGGAAAAAAAAACCATTCCTCACCTCCAATTTGAAAAGTTAATGGTATATACATAGAGTGGCCAAATCTAGATTAAATGCACATTCTTTAGGTGGTTGAGGGTGAGTGGGTTGAAGAGAGGGCCCATTCTCTGAGTGGCTCTACATAGATTAGAGAAGAATCTGTTCTTCACGAAAGGTAAGGATAGTTGGAGTATAATGGGAAGAACTTTTATAAGGAGAGAAGGAATCTAAGCAACCAAAAACAACAGATGTCTGCTATATTCAGTCCTTAGCTGCCCAACACACATATTCATATTTCTTCCTATACATACTATTCTAATATTGCCATGACTTACTGTAATTATAACTATCCCCTACAATTCTTTCTCTTGTCTACATATTTTTTTTTTCCTACAGCAGGTCCTAATTGGTCATCAATTTTATACACATCAGTGTATACATATCAATCCCAATTGCCCAATTCATCACACCACCACTCCACCCCCCCACCGCTTTCCCCCCTTAGTGTCCATACATTTGTTCTCTACATCCATGTCTCAATTTCTTCCCTGAAAACCGGTTCATCTGTACCATTTTTCTAGGTTCCACATATATGTGCTAACATACGATATTTGTTTTTCTCTTTCTGACTAACTTCACTCTGTATGACAGTCTCTAGATCCATCCACATCTCTACAAATGGCCCAATTCCATTCCTTTTTATGGCTGAGTAATGTTCCATTGTATATATGTACCACATATTCTTTATCCATTCATCTGTCGATGGGCATTTACATTGCTTCCATGACCTGGCTATTGTAAATAGTGCTGCAGTGAACACTGGGGTGCATGTATCTTTTTGAATTATGCTTTTCTCTGGGTATATGCCCAGTATTGGCATTGCTGGATCATATGGTAATTCAATTTTTCACTTTTTAAGGAACCTCCATACTGTTCTTCATAGTGGCTGTATCAATTTACATTCCCACAAACAGTGCAAGAGGGTTCCCTTTTCTCCACACCTTCACCAGCACTTGTTGTTTGTAGATTTTCTGATGATGCCCATTCTAACTGTTGTGAGGTGATACCTCATTGTAGTTTTGATTTGCATTTCTCTAATAACTAGTGATGTTGAGCAGCTTTACATGTGCTTCTTGGCCATCTGTATCTCTTCTTTGGAGAAATGTCTGTTTAGGTCTTCTGCCCATTTTTGGATTGGGCTGTTTGTTCTTTTTAATATAGAGCTGCATGAGCTGTTTATATACTTTGGAGATTAATCCTTTCTCCGTTGATTCGTTTGCAAATATTTTCGCCCATTCTAAGGGTTGTCTTTTCGTCCTGTTTATGGTTTCCTTTCCTGTGC